TATCCTGGAATTTGTATGACTTTGTCAGATCTTGCCCATGGAAATCTCGGTAACAGTTTGAGAACAGATTCGAAAAGAGCGCCGTTTACGAGCGACTTAATGGCCGTTCGTTTTTAATATACAGCGAAATCCGGCGTTTTCCAGGCGCATGCAGTTATTTACGCAAGAATTACTTTAATGTTTACGAGCATCGAGGAGCGTGGCATCGTCGCGAATTTTCCAGATTTAATGGACCGCGGTTGGGAATCTAGAAATAGGGAGTTAAGACGAGCGGAAGTTACGCCTTGGTTGCGAGTTAGGCTACCGCGAGTAACAGTCGTTCTGAACATTTTAAGCACTTTTTTTTCTTTAAATCTTCGCGTTCCTACGGTTGTACGTGGTCCTCCTCGCAGATGTACGAAGATCGAAGCAACGAGCTTGAAAGAACGTATACTCTTCGTTTTTACAATGGAATTATTCGCCGATCTGTACTTTAGAAGTATTTTCTGACCAGAGAAAGAAATACGAAGTTAGGATAAAATTTCTCAGGATATTTACATTTTACGGGATATTTTGTTTAAATTATTTTAAATTATTAAAAGGATATTATTTCATGTAAATGACTCAAAATATCCCTTGGACCATTGGTACGGTAAGAATATTACAACTAGAAATTGAAATGCCTCGTTTATAGGATACTAAGAGAAAGATTTATGAATTTAAAAAGTTGGCAATCCTCAATGTTTGTGACTCAAATAACTCCGTTGTGCGACGCTCCACACAAAAGCAACCGTTGACGTATCAATTCCGAAAAAAGCATTCTCTTTATACGAATGTCGATAGAGACTCGGAATATTTTTGTTGGAGCACATGTACCTACGATTTCACGTTCATTTACACAGATAACACGGCATTGACGAACTTCAAAAGATAGTAGCTCGGTTTTACGATTAATCCTTGAATCTTTTACCCCTTTCAAACCGCATTACAGAATACCAGAATATCACTCTTAATTTGAAAAAGTGTTCGCTTTACTCACTGACGATTCCTCGAATCGACAAACACACTGTGAAACCGATTGAACGACGGAAAAAAAACCAGGCCATAGAACATTCGATACAGAACGAATCCAATCGCGCCATACACACGGACATGCAGCCTACACGCACACAATATCATCGCAAGAAATGAATTCTCTGTTAGAGAGCATCCCGGTTCGTTCCGAAAGAGCGAAATAAAAATTCCCTTTCGAAAAAGTGGTAACAAAAAAAAAAGGGAAAGGACAGAAACAAAAAAAGAAGGGGAAGAAAGGAAGAAGAAGAGATAAAGAGGGGGAAAAAAGAAGCAAGCAAGTGGGTAACAAGAGGAGGCAAAAAGGAGACGCGAGAGAGGATGCGAGAGGAGGAGAGAAAGGAATAAAGAGAACACATTCGACGCGGTAGTTTCTCACGGCGGTGAGAGTGTCGCAAACTGGCGACGAAATAAAGGCGAAAGAAAAAGCGCATAATGTCGCAGCTCTTCCCAATTACTGCGATTAAACGGATTCCCTTGCTAGGGAAACTATTACGCCGTGAAAGCCAGCGGTCGCTCGTGCGATGGCGGGAAGAATGGCAACGAGAGAAAAAATCCCTCGGGAGAGTCGCGTCGGTGAGACAGAGAAGGAGATAATGGGAACCGGGGGGGAAAGGAAAAAAGGAAGGAAAGGAAGAGAAAAATTTAGTAGGAGAAGGTGTACGAAAAGGGGGTGGTTGAGGTTGATGGAAGGAAAGGGAAAGGCAGATAGAAGGCGGAGAAACGGGAGAAAGGGACGACGATGAGGATTTATGTAATTTGTGTATATGACTTGAATAACTGCCTACATAATATAACGCTGGTGGCTGGAGTGCGCGCGAGCAGGCGACGCCCTTCATCATGGAGCTTTAATTAAAATTACGTACGTTTGCTGCTTGTAACGTGCGCTCGCGACTTCTCTCTCCTTCTCTTGCTGCAACCCTCTCTCTGGTCTACCGCTGCTACCTCTTCCTGTTCCTTTCTTTTTCCCTTTTTATCACTCTCCGTCTCCGTCTGTTTAATATTTTTATGAGCTTTTCACGACGCCTGGACGTACACTTGCACGTACAGGGTCTCTCGAATGTACTCGTACCGGAGAGGATACACACAGTGTCTTTGAAAGGCGTTCATAGCCGCTGCTTAAAGTGGTACTTTTTTCGTTTCTTTCTCTCTCCTCCCTCTTCCTCGTTCCCGCGTTCTCTTCCTTTCGTTCCCTTTTCTTCGACCGTCTATGCGGCCTCGCACGAGCCTCTCCCGGGCCCATTCGTACGTGCGTAGGTGGCGCAAATTCTCATTTGTGAAATTCGAATGAAAGAATTTCCATGGTTAGTCCCGCGACGCTCCCGAGACGTCGATTGTAACAGCGTCCGCTGAAAACCACCGTGGATTGTCCTTAATGTCGAAGTGACGCGGCCCCCGTGAGAGTTCACTCTCGAGACGCGAGCTGACACCGCCGCGCCGACACCATGAAAAGAGCGAACACAACCGCGAGAACGTGGATGGGGGAATTATTTGCACCTGTCGAAGCGGAATTGTGCGACCAGTTAAGTTCTAGAGAGGCGTCGTAAGGCGTTATAAGACGTCGTAAGAAGTCTACGTTAACTGAACGCGCTTCGTAATTATAGATTTACGTGGCAGGCTTGAAGATACGAATATATAGGGTGGTGTTATTCAGAGATTTAATTGGGTTGAGATTTTGTTCTCCGGCTATGCAGTATTTAACAGTTGTTTCGTTGTTGATTATTGTGGAAGGGTTAGGTTACTATTGCACAATTTTGATTCGGATAATTTGATTCGGGAAGTTTTGTTCTCCGACTATGAAGTATTTAACAGTTGTTTTGTTGGTTGATTATTGTGGAAGGTTTAGGTCATTATTGCACAATTTTGATTCAAATAATTTGATTCGAGAAGCTTAGGAAGAATTTGAGGGAATTTTAACGTTTTATCGAATATTATATACTGGCTGGTATAAGCGTTGGGAATTTACTCGTTACCTATATTTATTGGAAAATTCTACCAGATCTTACTTTATTTGATATTTTATCGGTGTAAAAGCAGCGATAATCGTTGAATCTGTACTCAACATCAGCTGGTGTTCTGATACTTATGGTTGGTAGTGTACATCTTGTTTCTTTCTTCGGGGCCATCTTATAAACTTTGCAAAGATAGCTGGAACTCTTTCTCCTGAAAAGTCTTTCATCCTTTTTGTTAATGGCGTAATAAAAGTAGCTTCTACAAGATTCTATATTTAGTTGTCATTGAATAAATTTTGTGAATAATTAATAACTTTCAGTGAATTTGGCAATTCGTGTATGATGATATTTCTGGATTTATTTTACTCTAGGCGAATTTTCTCAAATCCCGAAAAATTTAATGCGGAGAATCGTTTTTTCAGCCACCGTTCGTGACAGGAAACATCGATTTTGCAATAATCTTCGCCGATCTGAATGTGTTTGTTCCGTTGGCGGTGTGTTGTGCACGGTCGAACCGCGATGTCCACTGTTTGTCTGTTCTCTTCAATCACGGCGAATGTAACGCTCGCAACAAGTGCACGCGCAAATGATTTTTTTATGGTACTTTGACCCCCAAACGTTTTATCCGCGTTCTTTATTTACTCGAAACCTGAATTTATTTGCGAGCAACCGTACGTCGCGACGTTGAACGCACGAACGGACGCGTTTCGAATATCTAACGCGTTTTTATCGTTTTCTCTCCTTTTTTCTGGATTCTCTCTATGTGAGGATAGACTAACCAACCAAAATATTTTTTTACGATCGTACCGAACGTTTTTGAAAAACAATAACTTTCTTAAAAGAAATTAGAGTGCAACGAAAAATTCGACTGAAGGCTTTTCTATGATAATCTTTCTAGAAGATATAATTTTCTAGGAAGTATCTGATTTAGTTGGAACTGCGATAAAATTTAAAACGCTCCGCTCTTGTATTTGTCTGAATTCTTTCGAATAACTTGAATAAACGTTGTGTGGTTAAACCTGAATTTAAACTGCAGGAAACCGCAAATGTAAACTAATCCCGGAATATTAACCGCAGATTCTGTGAAACGCAGTTTTATGAAACTATGTTTTTTCTTATTATATTAGTCAATTCTTCTATGATCGTAAAACGGTTTAATACTGCGTACAAATAAAAGGTTTCAAAATAACAGTAAAAGTTTCGTTTTGCTAAACTCTAAAGAGTTTCCTTAACACTAGAGGAACTTAAGAAATTTCGTTTCTTTTTCCTTCGAACTTTTAAAATTATACATTTAAATACATTCGTTCTTGAATCTCGTAATTTTCAAGAAGAACGAATTTGTCAATTCTGTATATATCATCGAGCCACGAGGGCGCAATTTACAGTAATTGTTTAACTACATCTGTGCCGAGAGTCGGTTTTGATTATCTTCCGCGAACTAATCTCGTGAAGGCATCGAACAATGACGAATCTGTAATGAATATTCAACGTATCCGTGAATTCGTTCGTACGCGGCTGCTATCCATTATGGATATCCGTTGGCTGATCCCAGACAGGCTCGACGTGTTTGCGTTGAAAACTGTTCGAAATTGCTGGTCAGCTAAGTTTCAGGAATACAACATTGATAGAGGAAGGATAGATTTATACGTTTGACTATATAGCTACTAAAATCTAGTTTTCATAAATTTAGTCACTGAGTTAGGAAATTTATATTTTCATGACGATATTCAAAGAGATGGAATCACTTTCTACATATAATTATTGTAAGAATAAAATCTAATCTCATAAAAATTCACAATCACAGATCATATCTCCAGTTTATTCATAAGTCATCAAACAAACATCATCAAAATCTTCTTTAATTAAACTTCAAATAATCTATATTTTTCTAACAATACGATAATATGTAAAGACTCTTTGATCGACAAATATTTCTTATTATTATAGACATCGTCGTAATTCACACGAAATAATCGAGTCATATCGTAATCTCAACAGGTTTGTTGAAAGGATCCGTGACGGCTGAGCGGCCGCGCACGCTGCGTCGCTTGCGGAACGTTTACGGGCCATCCGCATGCGGAATGGGAACCGGAGGTGATGGTGGTGGCGGAGAACGTCTCGAAGACGGAGAGGTCTCGTTCCGGTCGGACCGCGATCGCGAGAGGGACGAGAAAACCCTTAGCATAATGAGCCCGTTCGACGAGCAGGAGGAATGGGCCAAAATTTCAGAGATCATGGCGTCGTTTGGCACGGGTCTCGTCAGAGAATCTGTCTTCGTCACAGAATTGGAGAAGGAATTCCAGACGAGACTAGGTATATGTCAAGATTTATAAATTGAAATATCGAAATATCAAAGTGTATCGCTGTTGATTATAATCTAATAAATAAATAATAGTTCGAAAGAAAGCTGCCATAAGTGAGAAAATCTGTAATAAAAAAAGAAAAGAAAAAAGAAGAGGGAAAAAAATTTAATTTTTAATAGAAAATTCCGTATGTTCTTAAATATCTTAAAAAAAGACAACACGATCATTTCTCGAAAAATATTTGCTATTAATTGGTGATTTCGTGTGATTTGTACGCAGGTCTGAGTTCAGACACCAGCAGCAGCCCTATTGTCTCTACTTCCGTTGGTCAGTGGTTGTCAACGTTGGGCCTGGCTGATTACGAGAACCTCTTCATCAACTATGGATTTGATGATCTGGACTTCATAGTACGTGCTTGTATATTATATCTTCTTTGTTTTCTAAAGATGTAACCCAATACCAATTTTGTTATTGATAAACTTTGTGCAATTCTGTTAAATATTTGTACAAATATGAATAGAATAAAAAGTAAGCTGTTTTAGCCAAACTTTAAATTCCAACGAAGAAATTATATTAGAATATCTGATTAGAGATTTATCAAATTTATTACAGTCTTTATATTGATTTGAATAATACTTCTCCTAAAAATCTTGAAAACTCTGCTTTTTCTAACAGAATGGAGTTTTGGACGAGACCGACCTGAAGGACATGGAGATCACCAGCGATCAAGAGCGTGCCGTGATAATGGACGCGGTCGATTTACTGAAAAAACGCGTAGACAAACGATCCGGCGGGAACAGTCAATCCGTGGACGAATGGTTGAAGAGTATTCACCTGGAAAATTACGCAGAGACTTTCAAGAAAAACTTGTACACGGACATGGAACGTGTGAGATGCGTGTGGGAGGTCGAATTGGCGACCGTCTTAGAGATCCAGAAGCCAGCTCATCGTAAGAGGATCCTCGCGTCGGTCAGCGGATCGAGCGCGCGTGCGCAGAATCGCAACTGCACCGGGCCCAACTTGGAGGATCTCAATAAGGATCTGAACACCTTGGTGAGTGAAACCGCATGTTCTGTCTGAATACGAATCGGCATGTTGCCGGCTGACGATTCGTATGGAATCGATAATGGAGAGGAGAGGAGGGGCGTCTGTAAAAATCGCAGAAATATTTGAACCGTAGACGTTGAGTTGAATTTAGACTTTGATATTTTTAGTTTTGTATGCGGTAGCTGTGTTAGGTGTTGGAGATTCTCTATGGAATTTTGGGGTGTGTTGAGAATTAAGGAATTTCTATAGATTCACGTTGAGTTGTGGATTATTGTTTTTTCTTGAAATTGGCTTTCGTCGCTTATAATCGATTATAAATTTATTTTCCAATTAATTCGAGTATCTAAACAAGCGTAGTGCTTGATACAGATAAATGAACATTAAATGTTCGGCAAAAAATAGTAAATACTTTAAGAAACTATCGCACGATATCAATGAGTATCATACGATTACATCACAAACACTTACACTACGCCACTGTTACGTCGATCTACTGCTCATATTCACAAAATTTTACTTCATCTTTCAAAAAATGTACAAACTTCCTAAGATATATACTCAAAACAGCATACGCGGATTTCACAACTCTAAAGGCAACGATCAATCCCAGCAAAGCGAGTAAAACGACTGGACCGATTGAAGCGAGAAAACTGGAAAGGGTTAACGAGGTTCATCGCAGCGATCGACCTACGTGACGCTCTTGTTCCGCCGATTGTGTCACCTGTCGCGTGATAGGGAGCGCGTCACATCGCGAAGATCATTTTAAGAGCGTATCGGAATCAGACAGAGAGAGAACGTGCTAAAAGAGACAAAATGAAAAAGAAAGAGCGAGAAGTTGAGTGAGTGTCGCGAGTGAAGGGATCCTGTTAAGAATTCCGTTGACACGGGGTGTCTGACGAGGGCCATGGAGCACTTGGGTAAAAAGAGGGTGGCAGCGACACACACCGAAGCAAGCTCGATCGCTCGCATCGGCTTTCAGCCGATCGCGTCATAATGTAAATATCGTGGCTAATTGGAGAGGCGTTATTGTAACAGGCGTATCATCACGGCTCCAGCTAGCTACCTGTTCGCTACTGACTCACCTCACGAGACGACACTCGAACAAGCTTTCAGGCTGATCGCTCGAGCGGACGCTAATAGTTTTTGTTCGGGCGCCTCGAGCGCGATACGTGCATCCGTTAACGAGCTACTCTACCACCTCGCGTCTCTACGCCTGGTCTTTTCGCCGGTGCTCCCTTAATTAGCTAATTAAATTCGATTAATGGCCGTCGGTCGACGCGCACACGTCCAAATTGCTCTCTTTGTTCCTCCGTTTCTCTGCTTCTTACGTCCATTCTTTTCTCGTAATCGAATTTCACGATTGCCGGCCCGTGCAGAGAGTTCCATCTCTCGTATGCGAGCCATCCATCTGTTCCGTCTGCGGATTAATCCTCGAACGCCGGATGCTCGAGAATCATTTTCGCCCACTATTCAAGTTCCAATAGATGCATCGTGGGAGGTGAATTTTTATGCTGGATTTTGAGTTTACTATATTTCCAAATATTTTTATCGTGATAATTAATTTATTCTTCCAACAACACGTGAATATTTGTTACCATTAATTGCTACTAGACTAAGGGTGTTAATGCATTAGTAGAAAACCTAAAGATGCGAACATTGTGCAAATTTTACGACTGTTCCCGAATTGTTTTCCTGTCTATATTATAGGCAGGGGGAAGCCTCTGTGTTCTTCATTTTTCTATGCACGTGTTTGTTAGTATTAGTTTTTTGTAGTTTCTACTTTTCCGTAGGTCTTTTTCTAGGTTTCTTTTTTTGGAGTTGCGAAGGCAAATTATACAAGGGAGGTAGATGTAACAAACGATACGCGAGATGTAATCCGAACAGCGAGCGATACGCTTGTGTGGTTTGAATCTGGTTTGATCGTAATTCCCGGAACGGCGCGAAACGATTCATTCACGGAGATTGCAAAAAGTTTCCTTTTTTTCTCTCTCCCCATTTTTTTTTCCGGGGATGGGACGAGTGGCGAGTTCGAAACGCGACGCTTTCACAGGTGTAATTGCACGTTCTGTAACGCGAGCCCGGCTTTCGTGCGCGGCTTTTGTAACGCTGCGCGAAAATTTTTTTCGCACCGGCATGTCCATTTTTATTTTTGGCCCGCTGACGTATCGGAAATTTGCTTGTAACGCGGCCGGGAACGCGACGTCGGAATGTAAAAAGGTATTTGCCTCGGTCGTCCGTTCGTTCGTTCAAATAAATCTATTGGAAGGTTTTACGTTCGGTGAAAATTAATGGAATGTACTCGTGTTCTATGGGGTTAATATTGACGTTACTGATAAAACGCCGGTCCCTTCCATCAGATCTAAATTCGTTTTTTACTACAATCCCGGTGAAACATGCATACATACTTCATTTATATTGTTATAGGTTTTCGAATTATTAGCTTTGAATCTGCTTGAAGTTTTTCAATTTTTACAGTATAATAACAACGTTGAGATTCATTGGAGATTACTTGCTCTTAAGATCTTTCCACCTCACTGCTAATAGAAACTTCAATCACCAATATCTTGAGAAACATTCAATATTTTTCCCTGTACGTATTTGTACCTTTAAATTTCTCGCAGATGCATAGACATTCGCAGTATTCTAGCCATCTTATTCTTCATTAAATATAAAAAATATAATATATAAAAAATATAATATATAATATATAAAAAAATAATATAAAAAATTCCTAACATAGTCTTCTGTATTACACCACTGAAATATTAAAAAACAAAAATGAAAGAGAAAAAAAAGTACAACCAGCGAACTTATATAAGATCACGAACGAAGAGACTTTCATTGCTCAAAAACTCGACGGTATCTCGTTTCTCGCAGAAGACGAACATACAGCAGCTGAAAGAGGAGATACGGGAGAAGCTGCCGGAAACAACGACGGAGGGTAATGGCGGTACGTCGATAACCGGAACGAATTCGACCGGCACGAGCACATTAAGGCACCGCAAAAACAGGCCGGCTCCGCAGCCACCCCAGCGACCCAGTTCGCATAATGGGGCGATCTCGGCACCGGAACAACTCGAGATCAGGGCACCGTCGGAGCTGCTGCTCGGCGTTCCGTCCACCCTGAAGACGCAGTGGAGGCACCAGCCAAAAGCTCTAGTCACCGGCTGCGTCACGTACGTCGCCAACGTAAGTCTAATTGCTTCCGTGTTCCATTCCCTTCTTCTGCTTTTTCTCTTTTACTTTGGCATCTTACTAAGTATTTTACATACCCTTGCTACGTCTATCTTGAATAGAACTGTTCTTTACAGAGAGTCAAATGTTCTTAATGTGGATCTACATAGTGGATCTATTCATAGTTTCTATCGATTGTTTATTCTTTGGGATATTTATTACGTAAATGTATCTTAAGGATCTGTTTTTTTTTTTTTTTTTTATTAAAGTTTCGAACGAGTTTCTTTGTATTAGCGTATCGAAAATATTGGGATTCTTGGTTGATAGTATTTGATTAATTGCTTTTTGGTCTTGTTAAGATTTTGGGGCAAAGAATAATTTTACATTAATTTTTATATGGACTTTAATCATAAAAGTGATTGTCACGATTCAAATTCATTTTCATTCAGAAATTCTAGAACCGCTTGTGGCAAAAATCTGTTTATACAATTGCGCTTTCCACGATATTGGACAAAAAAAACATTGTAATAGCTATGAAAACGAGAACACGTCATGTTGGTATAGTAATTGGACTCCATAATTCTATCCTCTCGTTCAAACGCACTGCACGGTTCTTGATTAACGAGTACGTCGTATGATGTCAGTCGGATACTCTTGACAACGCCTCAAGGTGAAGGCTATTACCATAATTACCGCGTGGGTGTAACTAACATTTCATTCAGAGCATTATCTTGCATGGCGTAACCCGCAACACAATGAACGAGCATTTAACGCTTTCTTCCTTCGGGGAATCATGTTGTCCAGCGTAATAGATTTCTATTTCCTTCGATATACGAAGTTGCAAATATTACGTAAAAATCTGACGCTGTTTAAGTTATTAGTAACACTTTTCTAAGTAACTCTATGATTCGTAAACACAAAAGATATTGGTAAATAATAAATGTTGAAAAATGGTGAACGCAGGCAAAGATTTTGAAGTTGAGCGACGTTTTAAAGGAAGCAGCTTTTAAATATTTGCGGTTCTAGACATACGATCTTCTTTCTGTTCTAAAATCGTACAGTATCTGGGTTCCACCGTGGTGAAGGAGTTACGTGGTACCGAATCAACAAAGAAGTCGATACAGAAGCTAAAGAAAACGTGTCGCGAACCAAGAGTCACCCCTGACATTACTTTGGCGATTTCTTTTCGTGGCGTGCGGTTCCTCAACACGGTGACCAATGTAAGATATTTTTAAAACGAAAGAAAAGACTTCGAACGTTAATCCTTTGTAATGCATAATATCTTACGGTAATTTTGATGTCGATCATTTGATTACAAATTGATAATCATGTTTTTTCAACTTCACTTTTTAAAATTAAGCTTGCTAACTCTTCCTTAAATACTTAATAACTTTCGTAACTTTCTATTGATTATTCTTTGAAATAAAGTTAACCGAATTTCGATTAATCGAGAAGCTGTAATACGGCGAGGTATAAGTAAGGAAGACAATCTCGTGCATTTATGGAATTTGTGTCGCGTTGAAAGGGATTAACGTTGAACCGTAATACGATTACCGTGTCTACATTTGTATTTGGAATGATGGGAATCGATAGGAGCCGATTTGCGAGCACGAAATTCGCAACATTCACTGCGCCTGCCAGGATGCCGACGATCTCACGCATTTCGCCTACATCACCAAGGACCACGCCAGCCGTACGCATTTCTGCCACGTTTTCTGCGTGCCAACGATGGTAAGTCTATTTCCTTTCTTGTTTCTAGATATCTATATGAAACTTTATTATAGTGAGAATTGGTATTCAAGGAACATTAAATTTCATAGTTTTATATCTTGACTAAAATCAAAAGATAAATTAATTATAATAACCGATTATGTATTTAAGTAATTTTCAAGTATATAGTTGGAAATGTTATAGAAGTAAATAACATGCACTATAATATACCGCTATAAGATACTAGGAAAATTAAGAGTCAACAGGAACATCTAATTCCAAATTCTTTTACGTCATTCTCTTACCACGTTGACTAGATGAATAATGTGATCATTCACCTCCATCTACCAACTCCATTGTTCCTAAATCTCTTTCCTTCGCCCAAAAAGAATCTACGAAGCGAGGAATGCGTGTTTCAGGACCAAGCAACGGAGGTGATCCTAACTCTAGGCCAGGCGTTCGAGGTAGCCTACCAAATGGCCTTGCGTGACAAACTTGGTAGTCACACGGTGCGATCTCAATCGGCCAATCAACTGACGACTTTCTCAAAATCTGCATCGAAAATGCCAATGTCTCCAGATTCTGCGCTGGACACCGGCCGTGAATCGCACAACCAACCTTCGGCCGCTATCCCCATCGTGAATTCAATGAACCCAAAACCAAAACCCCGCTCTAAGTCGTCCATCCCTAACCCTATAGTGCAGTCCACAATGACCAATCCGATGCAAGACGCAAACTCGAACTCGAGTTCTTTCTCTAGCGGCACCGTGAACTATAGTTCCAGCTCGAACTCAGCGACCAGTCCCAGCACGAACTCCGTGAGCAGCTCGAATTCGAACACGAACACGAACCAAAGTGCAAAGCCGCTAGTCACGCACGGTAGGTCCCATTCGGTGAACGACATCAAAGTGAACGGGAACCAGTTGAAATTGGCGCCAGCGCCGGTCGATGACATCGGAATAGGCGTGAAAGACCTGAAGCCAGGCTCCAGGGCGCCTATAGCTCTGTCAGAAGAACTATAAGGGGAATAAGGTTCTCCGTTACTATTTCGATACTCATTACTGTTCGTCCGAGAGATTAGATCGAAACGCTTGACGATCTTTGACCTCGTGGAAAAAGTATAGGGATGTCGCTTTTGTGACGCGAGTTTGATACAAGGGGTTGTTCTTTAATACGACGGACACAAGGGTGTATGGTGGACTTTAAGGAATTTGAGAAGCGTTTTAGAGTTTTTTTGGAACATTAGAACGATTATTCTTCTTAATGAAGAACTGAAGGTTGTTAATTGTGAATGTGAAACGGATCATCGTACGGATTGACCCTTGCATCAGAATACTATATGAAATTTTGTAAGATCATTAGGACTAAAATCCATTTGGGACTTTGATATTCGACTGAGAGGTCGGATTATACTTGAATTGTTCGATTAACTTTCGTAGACATTATATGACACACGCGAAATAGTACTCGACTAGGTGTTCGCGGTGTCTTTTTATCTCTCGAATTTTTGTAGTAGCATTCTAGACAGACGTTATGACGGGTATCGACAATTTGAACGGTTGTGTCATTCGGAAGAGAATGATAGAGGGGTTTGATGACAGCTCAGGTAAGTAAGAGACGATTGTCGAATTATTTTGCCAAATTCTTGATCGACCATGAAACGGCGATGCTGTGATTTTCTACATCGAGGGCATTAACGAACCGACGAAACACGTTTAGAAGACAACCGTGTGCTCATCTTTTACATATTTTATTCACGTCCATACAACGACAAAATTGAAAAAAGGAAAAGAGGATACAAAGCAACGAATTGAGAAGATTGTTACATTGTATCTGGTTGGACGGAACGTGTATATCGTCAACAGTATTATTTGATTAAAACGAAGCTCTTCGTTACAAAATAGACGTTTTCTAGGTCTTACACTCGATGTTTTGTCAATGAGGAAGAGCGTGACTAACGTTACATCGACGTCTCGCCTAAAATAATTTTAAACGAACTAGAAAAACCGAAAAAAATGTTGACAAAAGGACGTGATTTTTTTAAAGATTTCATTTTAAAGATTCCTCCTGCACACGAAACATTATATTGCATTTAAAAATGGCACATTTACACACATGTAAACATTCCCATGTCGAAAGGACGTACAGGTGAGTTAACAAATTTGCGAATGCTCAATTTTGATCGCGTACAATCAAATTAAAAAAAGAAAAATCGACTGATGAGACTCAGAGGCTGAATCGTTTTCACTTTGAACTGTGGCTGATTGACGTCACGATGGATTCGTTTCTTCCATGAAATCGTCACCCTCGTTCGAGGTGCCACCGTTTTTTCGACGTTCTCATCACCCAAGACTGACAGTCCTTATTTCGTTTCGCATTTTTCACGTTTCTCAGCATTTACGCATAGAGTGTGTACAATGTATACACATGCATGTACACAACAACATAAATTGCACGTATTAATTATCGTAAAACAAAGAAGAAGTAAAAAAGAAAGGACGAAGAGGAGGAAAAACGAAAAGAAAACCGAAGAGAAAATTCACTCCGTGCGGATTAACGTATATCTATCGAGTGCTAATTGGACGAACCTCGCGATTAGGAAACGAATATTATACCACGAAACGGTACCAAATATCTATCTATTGTATATTTAAATACTCCACGGAGTTCCCTCGAAAACCCTACATTTAATATAAGTCGATTTTCAAGTTTCCAAGTTGCTACGATTGTAAGGAACGTACTACAATCATATTCGAGCGTAGCTGATCGATTCAGCTTTGAGCACTAAAGACGACTCGAATTGATTCAAAGATGTGTCAATAGTAGAGTACTAATATCGATTGAACAGCAAGTAGCATCTCACGTATGTGGGCTCCGTCCCTGAAACGGAGCAGGCCTAACTGACCTCGTATGTAGTTGTCGAATCGTAGTGATAAATCGTGAGCGTATAATTGCCCATCACGAACCGTCTCTGGGAAGTCGGGAAAGATAAAAGCGTGCGGTAGCTCGAGAAAATTGTCGAGACGTCAAACAAATGACGTCTGGTTGTGTACACAACGGGTAGATTGATTCGTAGCGAAAACCAAAGATTGCATGTTTGTATATAAAGCACGCGCGATATTAATCGAACGGGAACGTGGCGATATTAATCGCGATATTAAGCTGGAGAGCAAAGAGAGACGGAGCAAAGTGGAGTGAAATCCATTTTAGGGTGATACGAAGAGAATATATTATACACGGTCACAGACAAGTGGAACACGAGAAACTGCCAAATAACACACCACCATAAACACGTGGCTATACGCACACTTTGTATTCATCACATTTAAAATGATAGTTAGCTCTATTCATAATGTATATGTATATATATTAACGCTTAATCCTGCATGTATATATATATATATACACACATATATACGTGCAGGATTAAGCGTTTAAGGTGTTGCGATAGAGGTGAACGAGGTTCGTGGACGACGTGATACAGTAATTTCAACGTGGAGTATAATTAGGTGGATGCTCCACCTTTCGTAAGTTCGTACATTCGCGAACTGTAGCGCAGCTATTGTAGAATTGTAGAAAATCGAAATAGAGAGCATGCTTCGTCGATGTGTGTGTCGATAAATTCGAGAAAATCTCGAGAAGAAGCATTATTGGAAAAAAGTCGATATGAAATCGATCAGAGGGGTTATTCGTGTTGGCTTTGGTTATTAGTGTTGTTCGATTGTAATAAAATGAGCGGTAAGTCGGATATTAAGATTCGATAATTGGTAATTGTTTAGATAATATGGTTATGTGAAAAAAAAAAGATACATAAATGAAACGAAAGAAGGAAAAAATAATATGTACGTACTTAGACTATTATTGATGGCACTATTATTTGATAACGAAATCAATAAATTTTGTAGCGTCGTAAATTACAACAGAATAGTTGACGAAAACGTAGTACTGCGTTAGAGTGCAGTATTTAATACAGGACAATTTGAATGCTACGTAGTTGATAGTCGTATTATCGATCGATAGAGTGTTTCTCGACCAAGTTTTGACGTTTATGAGTAAAACGTACGTACTACGCGTTTCGAACATTTTAACGAAGTATCTTTATCGACAAGCGTACCAAAATGTCCTTTCGTAGATTTGTACTTTCGTAAGATTTTCCTTGCTTTCTTTTTTTCTTCTTTGTAAAAATTGCGTACAGTGATTCGTATAAAGTAACATGGAAGATTATTTTCTACATGATGCCATTTAAGACATTTTACACAGAATTCTCTTTCTGTTGTTCCTATGGATTCCTCGTAATATACGCTCAAACGTTCGATATCGTATTTGCCAACGAAAAATGTTTTAAACACTTTCTTATGCATTTATCAGATCGTAGAAATAACAACCATTTACTGATTCAAAAAGGCGCGAAAAAAGACCAGTCCATTCTTAACTTTACACGAATCACTACATACATCTCAAATTTCTCGTCAAGAATTTTCTTCATCGCACAATCACATGACTCGCGACTTGAAACAACACTCATTTCGTCCATCAACGAACAATACAGTTTGTAGCCGATGCAATCTTTCAAGTGCCAACAATGGAGCCCCATTTGTATTCAATAAACCCAACGTCGATGTAACTTCGGGATTCCGAAGTTAGACCGGCCTGGTGTCAGCCGAAGAGAAAAAATTCCGACGGACGCATACGCGCGTTCGACAAGGTGTACATAACATACATCGAACACTTGGTAGCTATCTTGTTTTTTGCTATACTGTAAATTTAACCTATCCACACGTGTTCAAAGGGGAATCTTTCGTTCCGTTCCGCCGTGAACACGGACGCAATAGATAGTCGCACGAGATAATTTATTTCCTTCTTGCGCAGAGGACGGACCGGCAATCTCCTACGAAAGAGGCATCTATCATAGCGTAAACTTTTAAGTATTTATATATATATATATTATATATATTAAAAAAACAAAAAAACAGTAATAAAACATTAAACGAGTAAACGTTAGCTGTATACACTATATACGACTATACATAGGACGAGTGGTATCGGCAATGAGTTTTTTTTAAGGAACTCAGACTCATGCCAATCGCGCGAAGAAAACTCATTCACGGACCAAGAAACGATAAAAACGGGAGAGAAAAACAGGAGAGAAAAAAAAGTAAATGATTAATTGACAAGGGGAGACGATATGTATTTGCTCGTAAACTATTAATAGTATTTCAGGAAAAATAAAAGGAAATATTAGACACAGCTGTCGAGAGAGGAATTTTTAGGTCGATTTTCTTTCTCGTGAATGACGTGGTGCGACGATTATTTCGTCGTGTCGATTATTTAGATCGAATTTCAGGTATCAGGTGTACGTGTACATAGGTGTATGGTAAAACTAGAGCGTGCTACAGCGATCACCGTGAATCAGTTCAGTGACTCAACGATACCAAAGAGACAGTCGAAGCAATTTCCTAATTGTACATTAGACGACTATGTGTGATTAAAGTGACATACTGATTATTCCTGTGAACTTTTGTTGTTTCTGTCGCTCACTTCCGTTTGATTGACCTACGCCTTGGCATCCTACGGGGTTTCCGCGGGATGGGTTCTTGCGGTTTTCACCGTTCGAAGTTTTTAGACGTGAACAAAGTTGTTGAAGTTGTGAAAAATTTAATATCACAACTTGGTATCTGTTTATTATCAAAGATCGTTCGAATAGTCGACTGAAATTTGAAAATCAATCGGCAAAATCTTGAAGGATCTCAGAATGATTCATTGCAAAGATACTTCACAGGGACGTTCTAACGATAGTTTTATAAATTAGCAATAAAGTGCAATACAAATATTGAGAGCACAGAGTGTACATATCGATTACCTAGTCAGAAACTCTCAGAACGTATTTCAAGGCACAAATAAAGTAATCCAATATTCGTCGAGATTCTGTAAATACACTAAATTTGTCATTCGTCGGACTACCTCTTACTCATAGGTATAATACTTATTTGATTTAAACATCTTCGCAATATGAATTCTGAACTTGAAGAATTTGAAATTTCTACATATTTTGCTTACGCTTAAAAACTTCAAACGATACGCAAGATGGTGCATTGATTAATCGCTTCGGTATCTTTTATCGAATTTACGCTCCAAAAAATATAACGATAGTGTTGTCAAGAAAATGTTAAGATAGTCGAGCTAAATATACTTTACGTCCTTTTCTCTTCACTTTTATAAACCACGTAATAATACATACAGGGTGATCGAAAGGATGAAACAATTTAGAAGCGTATAGTATTTGTTAGAACGGCTAAGATACGTTTAATCAGTTTAGGTCTACGTGTTTGTTTCTTAATAACAGTTTAATCATTCTACGTTGTTTGTATTGATGTTTAATCATTCTATTAATACTAGTAGTAGTAATACGTAATACGTTCACAAGGCCAATTTTACGAGACATATGACAGCTAACAAAGACAGAAATAAGACGCATTAGCTAATCTTTTTCACACTAAAGTACCCACTTCGATTACATCCTATTTTAATCTATTTAAATTTCATAAATACAATACAAACGATATTTTCCATATGACAACCCTTTTACATTCAACATTAAAGGATTTGACAATTATTTTGTCAAAATAAGTGCATAATTAATTTACTTACTTATTTAGATGCTTAAATAAAAACTCCAACGAAGTCATCACGATTTTCATTAAATTAAAGCAAATACCATATGCCCAAAAATTGTTCGATCCTGTTTATCACTCAGTCCATATAACTCATCTTACTTATCCATCACTTAATTTTTGCATATGTTGAATTACTCCCATAGAGGAAGGTGTTTGCATTTTTCACCTTAATACAGAGTTTCGAGCGTGAGAGAACACACGTGTGTCGAGCAGGATCGCGTTGATTAAGCACGCGAAAACGCGATGTCATTAACGTGGCGCTTATCTCAAATCGCATCAATTTGCGAGGTGAATCTGCGCGATTCGCCTCAGCTTGGAGGTTTCACGCGAGAAAAACATGAGCCTTGAAACGTCTCGTTAACACCCTCCTCTTCGCGTTAATTATGCGAACGTCATGGCGCTTCGAATTTATAATATCCGCCACATTATTTCGCTAGTCTATCGATCGCATAATAATTATTATTACAATGATTTTGTTAAATAAGCGAGCTTAGATCTTATTTATGAACTTTTAGCTAGTTAATAATAGGTTCGGATATTGTAAATAGTTGTAACGTAATGCGATTGGAATTTTGAATGAAATTTTATTCAATCATGTATTATCTTTGAAATGAGCTTTCGAATGAAGTTTTAGTCAATTATGTATTGTATTATTTTTGAAATGAATTTTTGAATGAAGCTTTAGTCGAGCATGTATCATATTATCTTTGAAATTAATGTTTGAATGAAGTTTTAGTCAATGGTGTGTCTATTTTCAAAATGGGTATTTAGGATTTGTTGATAGGAAAGGGAAGATATTGTTATATTTATTTTTTAGTCGTATCATGAATTTAGTAATAATTATATAATAGTTATAATAATAATTTACATATACATATATATATATATATAAGTACATATATAAGCTTGAATACGCAGATACACTTTCCTATATTTATTGTCTTCCTTTCTACCAATGATATTTCACTCCCAACGTAAAAATAAGTACTTTAGAATAGAATTTACAAACGCTTTTGTGTCTTTCATGAGATCTTTCAACTATACATATAATAACTTTTTCATTAGATCAACTCGTGAACTGATTCCGGTGAAAGCTTCCATATCTTTCCTAGGACCCTTGTATAGTTATCATACTAAAGGCTCGAATGAAATTCTTCAAATCTTGCTCCGTGCACACTGCAATTTAAATATTTTCTTCGCACGATTAACAAAGCGTATTCGTAAGATTCGTGCTTCTATTTTCAAGATTTCGAAGATATTGTGCGATTGGCCACTTTTTAACGTGATCCTGTTTATTGTTGCAGAAAATCGTCGAATGAAACTTGAATCTTTGATTCTTGGACGCTTTTCTTCCGTTCATTGACCGTAGCACGTAATACTTTTAATATTTCGAAGTCACCAATGCATCGAAACTTCTGTGCTCAATGCTTTTACGAATGCATAATTATCTTCGTTCTCATAGTAACGTTGTTCGGTAGCAGCTTAAGCATCTTTCGATTTTTGATTATCCAATTAAAAATTCTGAGCTTTATTTTTGGAAGTGTCTATTGACTGGTCGCTATAACAACATCATTATCAACATCGTTATTGGTAAAATTAACGTTGCATCGATCGCCATTGATAGAATCTACATTCTACATTCATCACTATCGGTGGAATCAATGGTACATCGATCATTATTGGTAAGATCAGCGTTGCATTCATAATTATCGATAGAATTAATGGCTGCAACCATCGCCATTTGTAGAATCAACATTGCATCCATCATCATTGATAGAACGAGTGATGTATCGATCGTCATTGGTAGAGTCGACGATGCGTCCATCGTTATCTATAGAACGAACAAATATTATCATCGATCATCATTGATGATATCGATATTGCATCTCTCATTGGAATTCATCAGTAGAATCTACGATGTATTAACCATCGTTGGTAGAACCAACATCGCATCTATTATTGTCGGTAGAGTTAATGGTATATCGACCATTATTCGTAGAATCAACGTTGTCGTCATTACCGAAATACGTTGATAGAATCAGCGATGTAATCGATCGTCATTGGTAGAAACTTTGATGGATCGCTTGATTAAAATCCACTAACCATTCTTGCGATAACATGTCGATGGTTATCCAAGCTCCTCCATTTCTAAAGTAATAATTTCAACTCAAATACATTCTTCAGATCGCATTATTATTTTATGATAACAGGAATCAAACTGCGTTCATTTCGACTTTCTGATCGATCCACAAAATGCAAATTCATTATGAAATAATCTATAAATAATTAATAAGCTATAAAATAAAATATGACACTTGCAACGATACGATGATCGAGGTCAATTTTGATCGCCATTTTCGTAACGCATTTCGCGTGCTCGTTGTTCTAGCAGCTTCTGATGGACTTTGTATCCATAGGATCCCTATCCTCAGAGAATTTTCATCTTCCAATCGAGTTCCAGAATGTTTTTGCGTTTCGCTTTCATAGCAGAATAATAGAAACGAGCATTTCGAACGATGTCTGTACATATAACCGGATAACGAGAGTGTGTAAAATAAAGACATAGTAGAGTTTAGATGTGTGTAACGGTAGAATTATTGGCGATGAAATAGGACAGACATGAAAACGAAAGGTTGTCGAAAGAACGATCGTGGATCGTTCTTTCTATAGATATTGTACTCTTTAACTCTTTTTGCGTCGATGTTTCTCTCCTAGTTCTTGCAATTTCTTCTCTTATTGTGATTAGCCTTCATCGAGAGATTCGATCTTTACTTTGCACAGAATATATTTGTCGCGTTGACTGTCTCGTCGAATTAAATATCAATAAAATATATCCAGAAGATCGATGTATTTAAAGCAATTGAGAAATTGTTTGGTAAATTATGGTACGATTACGTAGTCTTATATACATTGTACCAAAGAATTATATGAAAATATATAAGTGTAAAAATTGAAATTTGTGTAGCATACGATAGATGTAGCGATTAACTGTGAAATGACGTGGCAGTCAACGTGTCAATGATATAATATATGCACAAGATATCTATTAAATATGATTGTAGATATTGCGACGATCGAATGAAACTTCGTATCGCCACGCGATGCAATAAAATTGCGTTAAATCAAAGATTTTGTACGAGCTTCTTTAACGTTCTTTCAATTGAGAATTAATATTGCAACAAATACAATTTATATTAAATTAAATTAGGCTGGATCGATAAAGTATACGTTTTCAATTTGATATCGATGCGATATTCGAATTTTAATGT